CTCCTGCATTGGCAGGTGGATTCTTTTACCACTGATCCACCTGGGAAACCCATTTACATTACCATGTGTAAAATAGATAGCTAGCAGGAATCTAGTGTATAGCAAGGGGAGCTGAGCTAGGGGCTCTGTGATGATCTAGAGGAGAGGAAAGGGGATTGGGACGGATGCTTAAGAGGTAGGGGGTATATGTATACATATGGCTGATTCACAGTATTGTAAAGCAGAAAATAACATAACATTGCAAAGCAATTATATTCCAATATTTAGCAAAAAAAGAACAATAAATAACTCAGAAAAAAAGTACAATATGTAACCACAGATCATCCTGCATTTTACCTTGATGATTCAGTGTCGCAGTGTACATAACAATGTAGAATGAAGAGGAGGGTGAGCAGGAGAATGTATTTTGTACTTCAAAAGCCCACACCTAAATGGTGGAGGAACAACTGCCTATTTCCTCGGTCAGTAAACACTGTGGGTCTCTGAAATAGTTTCACAGAGTGGGCAATGGTTAACATATCTGCCCACATCCTTTCCACTTGGATCTGCTTAATAAAGCAAATCAGGGGTGAACCACTATTTTCTCTACACCAGTACACAATTCTTTTAACTAGGTTCTAGTATTTTGTTTTCCAATTATTTGGATTTTCAGTATTTTTACTCTTTTTCCTGGATTTAGGAAGTTGAAAGAAGTTTTATCAGAACTTGGTAGTTAGATTCATTTTAAATTACGTATTTTTAAACATTGCAATTCTAAATGCAGTTTGTAAAATACACCAGCTTTTTCTACTTTCTTCTTTATCTCTTATTTACTATTTGAACAGGCTAATGTTAAGCAGCCTGGGCATATAAAAAATATGTACAAGCTAAAATTGTATTTGCTTATTTTCAAATTTAATTAAGTTTTGTTTTAAAATAGAATTGTCTCTTTCTGCTCAGGAGGCAGAATGCCACAGGAGAATGTGGCACCCACTCTAATGACTGGAAAGTCTATAAAATTGAAACTATAAATTTTTTGCAAGCAAAAAAAAAAAAAAACTGAATTGCAAAGGGTAACAGTTCTCTCCAACAGTGAGATGGGACCATGCATTGTTTCATCTTTCTTAGAACAAGGTAAAAATAGTGTTATAAATTTAAATAAAATAAATCAACTAAAATTTTAATAAATGCTTAAAATCTAAGTGTGTATCAGCGTATAGGTTTTAAAAAGTTATCCACAAACACACATGGGATTTGCACTCATTTGCAAACTCTTCCGTGTGGACACTATAAGATAGATTGGGTACAGGGCAGGGAACCAGAGAAAATCCTCTACACAGTGAAGGGATACAGGAAGTAATCAGCTAAGGCTGGGGTGGTCTGCTGTCTGAAATTCCCTGGACCTTTATCTCATACAGAGCAAGAGCTACATAGAGAGAGAGGAAGGAAAGCTTAAGTGAAGGTCCACTACTTCTGGAAAAGAGTCATAAGCAAAGTTCCCCCCATTTGGGGGAGAAGAAGGAGATTTCTGTAGCCGAAGACCCTGCAAAGTAGAGGTCTTTGCAGGCGGGGAAGGGTGGGACAGGGACTCTCTTACACACAAGAACCTCCACAGTTATGAAGTAGATTATGGATGCCACAAGAAAGAGCAAAAGAAAAGATGAGAAAGCTCTGTCCTAAGTCCTAGGCATACAGACTAGACAAGGAAAATAGAATCTCCCAAACCCATCATTGTCCCATCCCCACCTTAAGAGTAGAACCAAGCAGCAAGCAAGGGCCGTTTACTCCATCAGGAGAGTAAGAGAATGGAGAGAAAGGCCTCTGTCACACATTCAAGGACTGCTGAAAGATAAAGAGAGCAGTAGAACTAGACAGATAATCCAGGTATCGGAACTGTCCCATAGGGGCTCTAATACAACTCTGATTAATATTTTATGGGATCTAGTATAAGGTGGGAAACATGCCTGAAATGAGAAATTCAGTAAGGTGGTAGAAACTGTAAGAACCAAATGGAAAAGGAAAAAAAAACATTTTTTTGAAAGACAAAGAATTCCTTTAATGTGCTTAAGGAAAGGCTAATGCAGATGAATCAATGAACTTGAAAAAAGGGCAACAGAAATTATCCAAAGAAAGTACAAAGAGACAAGAATGTTGGGGGATGGGAGAAGAACAAGAATAAAGCACTCAAAAGCTATGAGGAAAAAACAAATTTTAATTGGAGTCTGAGAAAAGGAATACAGACAGAATAGGGTATAAGAAATATTTGAAGATATTTTGTCTGAGAATATTCCAGAAATGAAAATAATAAGAACAAAAACTCCCCAAAGATGCAGATTAAAGATACTCAAAGAATCTCAAGAATAAAAGAAAGATAAAAATGATATGCATAAACTGCAAAAAATCTAAGCAATTCAGATAACTCAAAATGAGAAAAATCAAAATACTCATAACCTCATGAAATAAAATATGTAATTAAAGAGTATTAATGTCATTCAAGTTTTCTATGCACTTATCTGTTTTTTTAAAATTTTTTGATATAGATAAATCAGTTTTCAAAAATCGAAGTGAACGCCTTGGAGGAAGTACATTTTTTTTTTGTTTCTAATGCTTTTTCCAGAAAATTCTAACATTCTTAGCTTTTAGGATAAGGGAAAATTGAGAGGATAATCCTATTTCCGTTGGTCTGGACACTAGGCAACAATCCTAATGTCCTAGTGTATTCGTTCAGTGTTAAAAATAAATATACAAAACCTTTTATAACTTTAGAATAAATAATAATGTCTGATAACATCGCTGCGTTATCAGCCTTGTATTATGTAATATATCTATGCAATTTCATTACAAAACATGTCAAGAAACAATTCTAGGGTTTAAATTAGACCAGTGTTTCACAGCTGCTAGTTCAAGGTGAAGAGTGCTAAGAAAAAAATTTTAATACTTCACAGATATTCTGTCTTCTCCTCAATAGAATTTTTTTAAAGTTTATAGTTACTATAAATTTTTTGTTTTCTTCTTGGCTATAATAGTTATTGAATTGAATTTAGAGTTCTACTCTTCACAATATAATGTAGGTTTGGGAAAAGTTGTTTAGAATGAAGAATGTGTATCTTATATTTCATACTGTCAGTTGAAATCAAATTGGCTTCAGTTTCCAAATCTTTTATCTCTAAAATATTTGTAAGTACAGTTCAAATTATAGTCAACATTATTTTACTCTCTAGAGACAGGTTGTCATCCTAAAGACAGAGATATTTTTAAATTTTGTAAAACAACTTAAATTCAATCTATCATCATATTTTGAAATAAAACAAATATATATATAAAAGAATGCAGATGAATTTAAATAAATGTTAATAATGAAAATTAATAGAAAGAACATATATAAATTACTTTTAAAGTGTATTCCTAAAGAACTTTTAAATTAATAAAGTAAGCAAATATTGACTTAGCAGACTTAAATGCTGCTTCATTTGGATGGTGATTCTAAAGCCTAAGAGGAAGCCATTGCTTCATTCATTTGTGTTTCCTCACAGTGATTAGTATATTATCTTGCAAATGGACAAAATTTCTATTATATATAAATTTATTTAATCTTAATTATTAATATTTGACAACTATGTCTTTTAAAAAATTAAGTTGATATTAAATCAGTATTTTATTGTTGCTAAAATAATAGTTGAATGTTGATGAACAGATATAATGTAAAACTAAATTCAGGATTCATGAGTTTTAATAAATAAATGGGTAAACACTTACTAAATAAAAACATGCACCCATATATGGACATACATGTAAATTTATATATGCATATATTTATTTATATGCTGTTTATTATATAGAGAGACAAAGAAAAACTAAATTCTGAAATAATGGGTTTTGAAGATATATATGTAGCTTATACTTATATATACACACACATCTCTGAATATTTGGAATATACACATTTTATTATATAACAATATGTATTTTTATTATAATATGTGTTTTACTTTGGATAAGAACTACATGCCAAGAATCTTTTGAACACTAGGTGTCACTAAAGTAAAGAAGAAATTAACAGCAACAAAAGCTGTTCTAGAATAACTTCCGAAGGAGACTATAACAGCATTTTGTTTATGATTCTGTTATTTTCCTTATTTTTAGGATTTATAACTCATATATTCAAATTCACACCAGGGTGCAATGTCACATGGACTTAGGTAGAAGTGACTATATCCTCTGCTTTCCACCAGCAAATCAGGGAAAAATCAGATACTCATTTTTGCCTATTCAGGAAGACCTTGAAGAAATTAAGCTGCTTCTTAAAATTCAAGCCTGTTAATATCATTGCAGGCAAACTGCCACTTTAAGAATAAATCTGTGCTTTCCTCTCTAAGAGCCAGGTTTGTGGTGTAAAAGTGGAAGAAGATGAAAGGTGATCTCATTGAACTGCTCTTTGCTCTTAAGCATAATGGATCTTCTGACATCTCAAGGAGAAAGATTCTAGGCATGAGCACCCTAGGCATTCCTTCTTAGATTTTTTTTTTTTTGCTCACACTTCACTTTAAAAAACAATTTGGTGGGTTTTAAACTTTTAAGTGAGGATTCCCTTGTAGCTCAGTTGGTAAAGAATCTGCCAGCAATGCAGGAGACCATTCGATTCCTAGGTCAGGGAGGTCTCCTGGAGAAAGAAACAGCAACCCACTCCAGTATTTTTGCCTGGAGAACCCCATGGACAGAGAAGCCTGGTGGGCTACAGTCCATGGGGTCACAAGAGTTAGATGAGCCTTAGTGACTAAACCATCAACCACCACCAAACTTTAAGTACTTACAGCCTTAAATTAGGATTATCTATGGGTGATATTGAGAAGGCAATGGCAACCCACTCCAGTACTCTTGCCTGGAAAATCCCAGGGATGGTAGAGCCTGGTGGGCTGCCGTCTATGGGGTCACACAGAGTCAGACACGACTGAAGCGACTTAGCAGCAGCAGCATGGATGATATTGCAACCATAGTGCTGTTACAGACAAAAAAATACTCACTTAAAAAGCTCATTTCTGTCAATGGCTCTGTTGGTTTGGGGGTCTATTGCATAGACAGTCAAGTCACACTTGGTATAATCTTCTAGAGAAAAGGCATCACCATGCCTGCGAGCACCAATGGACTCCACCACAACCTTGGCACCAGGAATTTGCTCCTGAACATAGCGATCCAAAATCCTATAAATCAAACAAAGCACAAACATGACATTCTGACAGATTAATTGGGGGGAAAAATCACCCTCATCTTGAAATGACATTTAGTAAATGAAAAATGATGACAGCCTGGTTTTTGCTAATGTTTAGTGAATACTAACTCTTGAAAAAAATCTCCATGTATTTAGAACATTTAACTCCCAATGATGCTAGACGCTGAATAAGGTAGAAAGAGGTCATCAACCATGTTCTCTTTAAGTCTAGACTTTTAAAATTTATGGTACCAACTGAGCTTTTACATGGCTCATGAGAAATACTTACTAGTGTTGTACAAATAAAGCTGTCTGTGCTTTATAGGAGCCATGGGGTCTTAGAACTCTTGAGTTCATATGGTTGGTGTTATAAATTACACCTTTCACCAGATTTTGTGATACATGCCATATAGCTATATACCAAGGTGCAAGAGTAGGATAGCTGTTTCCCTCAGTGTATAAAGAACCTTAGAAAACTTTAGCAGTGGAAGAATGTAGATATTCTCCTTTGCCAGATTTATCAGATTATGATAAAATCCTCAGAGACTATTTAGGTGAATACAGATAACTAAAGTGAAAGTGAAAGTGAAAGTGTTACTTACTAAGTCCTGTCCCATTCTTTGTGACCCCATGGACTGTATTTAGCCCACCAAGCTCCTCTGTCCATGGAATTCTCCAGGAAAGAATACTGGAGTGGGTTGCCATTTCCTTCTCCAGGTCATCTTCCCCACCCAGGGATCGAACCTGTATCTCCTGCATTGCATAGCAGACTACCAACCAAGCCACTAAATAACTAAAAGATATATCATTTAGTACAGAGTTAGTAATATTCAGTAGAAAAAAAAGAAATAACATTAACCCATAGGTAATTTTCTGTAAAGTACAATATTTTTTCTAATTGGATAATGATTTTAATTGAAAGTATAAATTATAGTCCAATAAAGGCAATTTCCATAATGTTCTTTTTCTTATTAAATACTTCATATTATTAATCCTTGAAGATTAACACTAGAATGCATATTATTAAATATAGGCATTTATATGTAAATGAATTAATTTTAATAGCTAAACACATGACAAATAGAGTCCAAGCTATGAAGCATTTGGGGGGGAATGAGGAATAACATATTCTAAAGAATTTTGATACACCAGGAAATAACTTTTACTTCAGATGCCAAAATTGACCTGTTTTCTCCTCTATTAAAAAAAATATATTGCCTTCAGAGTCTGGTACATGCTTGGTTTGCCCTGTTGAAAGAGAAGCAGGATATGAAGCTTGGAGGAACTGGCTGAGCACACGTCTATCATGTGCACCCCAGAGGACATCGCCAGTGTCAATGAAGTGTCTTCTTGTTTACTTTAAACTGGTGTGGAAGAGCATAGTTGAAGTTTTTCTTACTGAAGTACTCCTCATTCTTTTCTTTTTCTCACATTATCAAGATTTTTTTCCTTAAACATTTAGAGATATTTTGGGATAAAGCTAAATAAGTCCAGATCTGAAGACTTTTTTTTTAACCTTTTTCTGATAAATATATTAAAACTAAATTTAACTATTTTAAAATATGAACATATTTTGTAAAAATTTTGTAAAAATCAATCTTTCTATTTATCATCTATGTCCATATACCTAAGCATTTCTACAATATCTGCCTACTCTCTCTATATATATTATATATATATATAACATTGCACATATACATATATATAAATATATATGTATGACATTCATAAGAATGAATTTTTAGAACTTGATCTTCATATGTACATAGATAAAGGGTTGCTTCCAATTTTTTTAACCTCATTTTTTTAAAAAATGTAACTCTCTAAGTACTTTGAATAGGCAAATATAAATTAAAGCTAATGTTTAC